AGTCGATGGCATGTGGATTTTCAGTGTGAAGCGGCCGCCGGGTTCTCCGCGTTACGTTGCTCGAGGCTTCAGCCAGCGACAGGGAGTTGAATTCTTCCAGACCTTCTCCCCTACCCCGAAGATGACCACTCTTCGGGTGCTGCTGCACGTCGCCGCTCAGCGTGACTACGAGCTTCACTCTCTTGACTTCAGCACAGCTTTCTTACAGGGCAGCCTGCACGAGGAGATCTGGCTGCGCCGCCCACCTGGCTTCACTTGGTCGTTTCCTGCAGGTACCCAGTGGAGCCTCCGGCGGCCATTCTACGGTCTCCGCCAGGCGCCTTGCGAGTGGCACGACACACTAAGGACGAGGCTTGTGGCTCTTGGGTTTGCTCCTTCGACTGCTGACCCGTCGCTGATTCTACGCACCGACACTTCGCTGCCGCCGTTCTACATCCTCGTGTACGTCGACGACTTGGTCTTTGCCACTGCTGACACTGAGGTACTGGCCCTTGTGAAGTCGGAGCTGCAGAAGAGACACACGTGCACAGACCTGGGTGAGCTGCGCAGCGATCTTGGCTTGCAGATCACCCGGGACAGAGCACGGCGCACCATTACCTTGTCTCAGTCACACATGGTGCAGCAGGTCCTTCAGCGCTTCCGCTTCCAGTACTCCTCGCCACAGTCCACTCCTCTGCCTACCGGTCACTCGCTCTCAGCTCCACCTTCGAACGAGTCCGTAGAGCCGAGTGGCTCGTATCCAGAGCTTGTGGGCTGCCTCATGTACCTGATGACCTGCACTCGACCTGACCTTGCCTACCCTCATAGCATCCTGGCACGCTACGTTGCGCCCGGGAGACACCGACCAGAGCACTGGGAGGCCGCTAAGAGGGTGTTGTGCAACTTGTGCAGCACGTCGGGCATAGGGCTCGTGCTTTGAGGACGGGGTCCAGTTGTCCTCACTGGACACGCAGACGCGTCTTGGGTTGACGACTTGGCTACGCAGCGTTCGTCTCAGGGTTACAATTTCAGCCTTGGCTCCGGCTCTGTTTCTTGGCGGTCTACCCGCTCGTCTTCTGTTCACAGTTCCAGTTGTGAGGCTGAGATCTACGCAGGGGCCATGGCTGCACAGGAGTTACGCTGGCTCACCTACCTGCTGACCGACTTGGGAGAGCCGTCTCGGTCTCCTCCAGTTCTGTACGTCGACAACAAGGCCATGATTGCCTTGTGTCGGGAGCACAGACTGGAGCACAGAACGAAGCACATCGCTCTGCGTTACTTCCTTGCTCGAGAGTTGCAGTAGTGTGGTCAACTTCGTCTTTCTTACGTGGCCTCTCGGGCCAACACTGCTGATATATTCACCAAGGCACTTCAGCCTTGTGATCATCACCGTTTCTGTACTGTTTTAGGCCTTGTGCCTACTTGGTCTCACTTGCTCACTTCGTGACTTTGCTTGTACTGTGATCTATATACTTATACATGCATGCTTACACTTGCTAGGTTGTGATCACTGTACTGCTTGTTCCCTTTTATATAACTCTGCATGTGAACTGGTCTTGTGGCCATTTGCTTGTGCTCAGAGTGTGTGGTGACTTCGTGATCCACCCTGAGCTTGCTTTGCTTTTCTTGACTGGTCTTGTGACCCCTTGTTCTCCCCCACTTTGCCTATGGGGGTGTGTTAAACTGTTATATTATTGTGTAGGCTGTAGTGGGTAGCCCATATGGGGTACAACCCAAATTAGGGTTAGTACTTGTATCACTTCCTTTCTCAATGCAATCATTCCTGCTTGTTAGTTTGTAACACTTGAGCCCCAAGCCCTCTGCGACCGTGATGGCCGACTAGTTGTCCACATGCAGCACGGTCGGCTTTCCAGCGTCGAGCAGGTGGAACTCTGCGAGGAGGAAGCGAAGACGACGGGCCTCTTTGCCAGCTTGCGTGGCCGCGACGTACTCAGACTCGGTCGACGAGAGCGTCGCGCATTTGATGCGCTGGCTCGACCAGGAGACTGCGGCCCCTCCGAAGACGAACACGTAGCCGCCCGTGCTCGTCCGATTCTGCTTGTCGCCAGCATCATCGGCGTCCGCATAGCCGACCAGACATAGCGACTCTGGTCCACCGCTGAACTCCAGAGCAGCGTCACGGATGTCTGCGAGGTAGTGCAGACAACGGTCGACCTTACGCCAGTGGTTGTCGTCCGCACTGTCAGGCCGCTCCCCAGCTTGCTGCACGCGAAGGCAATGTCCGGCCTCATCGTCGTTTCCGCAAACTGCAGCGAGCCGACCTTCTGCCGATACTCCTCCTCTTCGCGCGATTGCGCGTCCTCATCGTCGAAAGTCAGCTCTACGTAGGCGTCAACGGAGACCGGCGTCTTCGGCACTCGTCCGGTCTGCTCCTCGTCGATGAAACGCCAACACAGCTTGTCGACGTAGACTTTCGGGTGAAGTCATAGCTTCCTCGACGGCCTGTCGCGCACGATTTCCAGCCCGAGATACTTCTCGACCGGCTTGATCTCGCGCAGCTCGAAGGCGGCTTCCAGCAGCTCCTTTAGCTCCTTCAGCATTGCGAGACTGCTGCTGGCGGCGAGGAGGTCATCGACATAGACGAGCACCCAGCACGTCAATCCGTCATCGCCGACCTTGAAGTAGAGAGCCTCGTCGACCTGGCTTTTCTTCCAGTCGGCACCAGTCAGCACGTCGTCGAGCGCCTTGTACCACAGCAGCGGCGACTGCTTTAGTCCGTAGAGGCTCTTCAGCAGCTTGCACACTCGGCCAGTCCCGTCGTTGTAGTAGTCCGGCTGGTACATGTAGAGCACGCGGTCGAGCTTGCTCTGCAGGAACGCGTTCTTCATGTCGAGCTGCATCAGGTGCAGTTCGAGGACTGCTACGATGCTGAGGAAGATCCGCAGAGTCACGTAGCTCCCCACCGGCGCGTACGTCTCGTCGTAGTCTGCGCCGTAGACCTGCGTGAAGCCTTTCACGACCAAGCGGGCCTTCTCGCGGGCGACCGTGTCGTCGACGTGGTACTTCGTCATGATTACCCAACGATTCCTCATGATGTTGACACCACGTGGACGCTCGACCAGCTCCCACGTCCCGTTGGTGATGAGGCTCTTAATCTCCTCGTCCATGGCGGCCTTTACCGCCTTGCCCTTCCAGCTCGCCAACGCCTCCTTCACCGTCATCGTCGCGATGTCCCAGCGGTGTTCCGGGTCGGCGTGCATGTCGGGGTCGAAGGTCGACGTCGTCCTCTGCGTCGTCGAGCAGCGTGCTGTAGGAGGTCGATGGCAGACAGGCATGGTAGCTCAGCTTCTCTGCGGGCTTACCGAGGTTGGGGTGGGAGGAACGCCTCGGCTTCACTTCTTCGACCGGGACTTCCACCACGTCACTATCGTCGTACTGCTCCCCTGCCGACATCTCCCCTTCCTCGCCGCCAAGGACTTCTACGACGTCGCTCGACGCGTCATCGTCGAGCTGGTCCTCTGCCGTCGGCTCCTCTGCCGACTTCGCCTCTGCCGACTCCTCTGCCGATTCCTCTGCCCGGCGCTCCCCTGTCGTTGAAGGCTTCTGCACTCGTCCGGCGAGGTGCATCTCGTCACGTCGGCCGCCGGCAATGCCTCTAGCCGACGCCGAAGGCGACGCAGCAATGCTCCCCTCATCGCCGGTGGCCGACGGCGACGCCATCTCTGGCAGATCAGCGACAAGGGGCGGAGGGGAGGTAGAAGTGGGCGCAGAGGGAGGAGTGACGTTCTCGACGTCGTCGTCCTCGACGTCAAGCAAAGGGGTCGTCGACGACGAGGGATCCATCGGCGCGACAGCAGGTTTCCGCGTCGAAATGGGGCCGTGATCTGCCTTCCACGCCTCCAGTGACATTGTTTCGTAGAAGATGGCCTCTACAGTCGTCACCACCTTGTTGTCGGTGAGGTCGAGCACCTCCCAGCCCTTGCTCTCCGGCGACACACCGAGATGAAGGCCCCACCGGGCCTTCGGCGCCAGCTTCCCGCCGCGCTGCTGCTCGGGGACCATGAACTGCACCATGCAGCCCCACACGCACGCCAGCGTCAATTCCGGTTTCTTCTCGAACAGCAGCTCGTGCGGCGTCGTCCCCGAAGGCAGAGACACCCGTTCGAGGCAGTTGCACACCCAGAAGGCCTGTCGCAGAGCAAGATGCCACCAGTGGTGCTTCACGCCCATGTGAAGCAGCATCGTCCGCACGGTCTCTACGACCGTACGCATCTCCCGCTCTGCCATCCCGTTCTGCTGCGGAGTATAGGGGCATGTTAGACTGTGGAGGATGCCCTTGTCCTCGACGAGGTCGATGAAGGCTCGACCGAGAAACTCCCCTCCGCGGTCGGAACACAGCATTTTCACCGTCTTCGACGTCTGCCGCTCCACCAACTTCAGCCACTTTTCGAAGACGACCAGCGCGTCGCTCTTCTTCGCGATCGGCCTGACCCACACATAGCGAGTCTTCCTGTCCTTTAGCAGTCCATCGTTGGCGGCCACTCGAAACGGCCCGCAGAGGTCGATGTGCACCATGTCGAGCGCATTCTCTGCATCCGATCCTCGGTCGGGGAAGGTGTGCCTTGCCAGCTTCCCGCTGACGCAGGAGGCACACGGCAGATCCGCAGCGGTCGAATGCTTGATGTCTAGACCGACGGCGATCTCATGCTTCGCCGAGCTCTTGATTGTGTCGATGCCGATGTGCACGAGCCTTGCGTGCCACATGTCCGGTGTAGACTTAGTCGCTGAGGCGATTGTCCGCAGAGCCACCACTTCTGTCGGGGCCGACATCGACTTCTGCGAGCAAGGTCGAAGGTCGGTGCAGAGGACCCGGCCGGTATACTTCGCCCGACCAAGGACGTCCCCCGCCGCCGAGACGAGCAGCATTTCGTCGCTGACATCTTGCAGCTTCACGCCGCTGTCCTTCAGCTGGCCCGCAGAAAGCAAGTTCGCGTGCACGCCCGGGATGTAGAGTACGTCGGGGACGAGAATCTGCTTCCCAGTCTCCCCGCGCAGAGCGACTATGCCACGGCCTTCGACATTCTGCAGTGCCCCGTTGAAGCCACGCACATGCTTGACGTCGCCTCCAGGCTTCATTTCGACGAACGCCTCCTTCGTCCCCATCAGATGGTGGGAACAGCCGCTGTCGAGCAGCACCACCGTCGGTTTCGCGGCCGCAACCGCCTTGAAGTCCTCCCCGGCCTCCGGCGCCAGAGAGACGGTCGACTCTACGATGCCGAACATCGAGCACGACGCCTCCCCGTCGCCTCGACCTTTGCCGGTAGAAGAGTCAGCATCCTTCATCGACGGCATCGACTTCGACGTCTGCTTCTCCTTGCTCGGCTTCTCATCTCGACAGGGGCGACGACTGGTCGACCGACCGCGGCCTCCCTTGTTGTCGTCCTTGTCGCTGTCGTCGCGGTCGGGGCACTCGTAGGAGAGATGGTCGGGGTCGTGGCAGATCCAGCACTCCCGCCGTCGACCACCACCTCCACGGCCCTTGTCCCGCGTCGACCTCTTCTCGTCGACGGGCTTCGTCGACCGCCCACCTCCGCTACCACCTCCGCCCGGCTTCCCGCGCTGCCCCTGCTGACGATTCTGCTTCGTCGGTGCAGTGTAACTCGCCTGCGGAAGGAGCTCCGTGGGCTGTGCCTCTTGCATAGCCTCGTCTTGAAGGAGGTAGCTAGTGATGGAGTCCTCGTCGAGGGACTCACGCGTGCCGGGCACCATCATCATCCTCGTCATGAGGTTGTAGCTGCGCGGTAGGCCCTTGACGACATGGGTGATGTAGGACGCCGTAGAGTATTCGACGCCCGCCATCCGCATCTCAGCCAGTATCCGTCCAGCACGGTTGCAGTAGTCCGTCGCCGGTTGGTGACCAGCGTCTAGTCGCTCTCGACAGGACCTGAGCGCTAGCTGCACCACCGGCGAGCAGCACCTCGAGATGACCATGAAGGTGAGCAAGTGAGCAGCATGAAACTCCCCGCGCAGCTCGACATCGTCCTCGGGCGGAATTGGCACGGTGCCGTCGGCAAAGCCCTTCAGCCCGGCGACCTCCAGCCGGGGTTCTATCAACTCCCTCCAGGTGATGAGGTCTCGTCGACCTTGCAGTGGTGTGACGGTGATTCGGTACGGCGAAAACTTGAAGTAGCCATATGCCGGTGCGATCCCGCCCGCCGTCACGTGCGTCGTTGTCGAGAGCCCTCCACCGCTTCGTAGAGGAGAGCGGCGTCGACCATCGACTTCGACCCGCGAGCTGCCTGCGGCTGCCGTCGACCGCTGCACTCGCGCCTGACTCCGGTCGACGCCATCGTCGACCTTGATCACCCCTCTCTTCTTCGTGCCATCGCTGCCGCTGACTCGTGCACCACCGTCGACCTCGTCATTTTTGCCACCTTCGTTCCGCACCGGTCGAGGAGAAGCAGGACAGGAAGGGTGCTCCGTTGCCCACTGCGCCCGGATGCCCAACTCGGCGATCGTCAAGGGGATCGTCCCGTACTCGCCATCTGCGTGGCGTTTCCTCGCATCAGCCAATCGTGCCTCCAAGGTGTCCGCTACGCCTGCTTCTACAACGAGGTCGACCATGGCGACTAACGCGGCTGCCGGCTTACGAACGACTGGTGCAAAAGTCGGCTCCTATCTGAAGGTCGCGTGTTTTTTCCACGCTCACCACACCATGCGAAGAGTCACTACACAACGGGAGTGGACTACAGAGGAAGGCACGGGGTTCTGCGGGTGATCGTAGCGTTGCTCTAGGCGTTCTCACTACTTGCTGTGTTCACAAGGAAATTTGGCAAGAGTTTCACTAAGAAATTGAGAGAACATTGAGATTACAAAAGAGGCATGCAAGTCGATATAGGTAGAATGGCATTGCAACACCTAGCAAGCCCTCTGCAGGGCGAACTATGCCAGCGTAGCAGAAGAGCGGCTTGCCAACGCTGCAGCAGAGTAGTCTGCCAGCGTTGCACCGCAACGGTCTGCCAGCGCGGCAGAGGCAAGTGAACTTCTGCGCATGTGCGCACCTACCAAGTAGGTGCAGATAAACGGTCGCACCGCCAGGCACATTGCGCAGGTGCCATGTTGAACACGTGTCGACGGTTTCTCCAGCAATGCATCGTCGAGCACGTGATGCCGTTCCGCAGGTCGACTTCGCGAAAACCTCCTGGGCGACGTTCGCCTATGCGTCGGATTTCGCAGTCGAGCGACTTGCGTCGACCAGCTCGACGATGCTCCGTCGAACAGCATTCGCCTAGACGAGCACGTCGAGCAGAGCCTGTATACCAGCACCTCTCTACGGGCTCGTCGACCAGCGTCCTCTGCGAGCTCGTCGACTGCGTCTTCTGCGAGCTCGTCGACCGTGTCCTCTGCGAGCTCGTCTACCAGCGTCCTCTGCAGACGCGTCGACCAGAGTCCTCTGCGGACGCGTCGACCATCGTCCTCTGCGGACGCGTCGACCGGCGTCCTCTGCGGACCCGTCGACCGCGTCTTCTGCGGACGCGTCGAGGTCGAACTATACGGACAGGTCGAGGTCGAACTATACAGACATGTCGACGTCGAACTCTGCGCGCAGTCTACGACGACTTCTGCACGCCCCCCCTGATTGCGAAGTCTGCTTCCCCCAAGCGAGTGCGGGGCCATTTCCCATCAACAGAGCATCGCGCGCCTCTGCCAGAACAGTGCGCGCTCCAGCTAGAGCATCACGCGCTCAGCCAGAGCAGCACGCGCCCTAGCTAGAGCAGCGCGCCCCCCACCCAGACCGCGCGCAAACCAGGCAGCCCAGTGCGCGTGCCAGCCAGACCGGCGCGCACGCCAGCTAGTCCAGCGCGCGTGCCAGGCAGCCCAGTGCGCCAGCCAAACTACCGCGCACGGCCATAGCCAGCTAGCGCGCGCGCCACTACCTGCCAGCACGTGCGCACCAGGCAGCTAGCGCGCGCGCCACTGCAGGAGCGCCCGAAGCGAGCACGTAGCCCAAGGCGCGTGCCCCTCCCTAGCGCGCCTAGGCCCTTACCAGTGCCTTACCTAGCTCCTCACCGTCGTTTTTTTTTTTTTTCCTACCGTTCCTTCTCTCAGTGTTCCGCTCCGCAGCGGCTGGAGGCCGCTCCTCCTAGTTCTAGTGTACTACTGGCGCTTAGACTTTTTCCCACGCTCTAGTTAGGAATTAGGGTTTGCTCCTCACTACGACTGTTTCGATATCAACTTTCCTAGCTCCGTGTTGCTCCTTGCTCCGGTCGTTCCTAGCCCGGCGTTCCTAGCTCCGTTTGCTCCTCGCTCCGACTGTTCCTAGCCTAGCGCTCCTAGCTCCGCTCGCTCCTCGCTCCGGTCGTTCCTAGCCCAGCCATCCCTAGCTCCAGCCGCTCCTAGCAGCTAATATGGCGTTCTCCCGGCATTTAATGTTTAGAGGGCCGTGCAATAGACTTTAGCACGTGGCTCCGCCAGGCCCAGCGTCACCTTACGAGCCAGCGTCAGGATGGCGCTACCTTGTACGTTACGCGCCCGACGCTCTCTAGGCATCTCAGCTCCACTCCCACGGCGCATGCGTAGTACGACAGGCTGTTCTTGGCGCACGACGTCTGGGACTCTCGCGACTCTTTTGCCTGCCTCGCACCCACGGACCTTGTCCCACCGGCTGAGGCTGCTCACTTCTCCCAGGTCTATGACGCTATTGTTGCTCGCTATTCCACCCCTTCCTCTGCCTCCCTCAGCTGTCTCCTCATGCCGTTTGTGTTTCCTGACCTTGGGTCGTTTGAGACTGTGTCTGATGTTATCACCCACCGGCGCTCCCTCGACACTAGCTACCGTGCAGCCTGCACCGACGCCCAACTTGTCCTTGCCCCCCCGCCTATGTGGCTCACCGTTCACTTGTAAGTTACTCCCCTCCCCGGCGGCCTCTCCTCTGCCTGTTAAGTGCTTTTAGCAGTAAAAACAGTTGCGCGTACAGGAAAACCACATTTGAAGCTTCACCTTTGCAGTGACTTAGCCATTTATGCGGCTATAAAGCTCACGACCGCCCAGATTCCATCATCAGAACTGCCTATGACTTCAGATTTTGACAATGGCAATTAGGTGTCAACTCAAAATTGTAAAATAAACCTTTCATTCAGTCCCTTATATCGTTATCAAGCTGTCTGGTGTCTCTAACTTACTACACAGTTTTAGGCTGATCAATCAGACTCGGTAATAAAGAAAAATAAAAATGAATTGGTTGCCTGCTATTGGGACCTAGAAAGCTATATGCACCAACTAATTCACACAAGGTAGTCTCCACGGGGTCACCTACGAGGGTCCTCAGGTGCATGGTATAGCCAGCCCTATCCAAGGGTTCCGTGTTTGTAGAAAGACTTCCCTTTTGTAAATATGAATGAAGGCACTGGATCACACCAAACTCATTTGCACATCGTTAATGATTGATTGGATCATGTGCAGAAATATTTCGTCGCGTCGATACATTGATAGAGAAGTATTCATTTCGAGGGATTGGTTATAACCAAACACAAGCATACCTCTTAAAAATAAGAATACGGTTATTTACATGCATCTCTAGGATTTTGCCATGTACGCAATAGAAAAGGTTGCCCAACGTTTGCTGCATTTGGCTTGATCTGTTTCCAGCTTCCATTTCCTCCAAATGCCCCTACTGACTCGACGAGCGTTTATAGATTCTCATGTACAATCATGATGCCTCGTGTGGGAATACAGTTTGCCCATTATAAAACAGAATTTGTCAGAATATTATGCTCTAGCCTTTAGTGGGGTGCTCTATAGCGAGTACAACCCTTCTAGGGTTTGCTATTTGTATCCTCATTCTTGCTAGTGCAACCCTCCTTCTTCTTAATTCCTCTTAAAATTTCACATGCTATCAGAGCAGGTCGATCCCCTTGGATCGATCCTGTGGGTGGGCTCACCACCTCGTTGCTTCCGCTGCAACTTCCACTACTACCTTCTGTGCCGCACGCCCCGTGGCGTGCGGCAGTTTTTCTTCCCGCCGTGCGCCCCGAGGCGCGCGGCGGTTTTCTGCCCGCCGTGCGCCCCGTGGCGCGCGGCGGTTCTCTGCCCGCTGTGCGCCCCGAGGCGCGCGGCGGGCTTCTACCCCGTCACTCGCCGCGTCGCCCTCGGGAGGCGCTGCGACGGGCGACGGGGACCCGCGCGTCGCCCCCCGTCGCCCGTCGTGGCCTGCGCGCGGCCCGTACAGCCGGCGCGCGGCCCGTACGGGCTGCGCCAGGCCTGCGCGCGGCCCGTACGGGCTGCGCCAGACCCGCGCGCGGCCCGTACGGGCTGCGCCAGACCCGCGCGCGGCCCGTACGGGCTGCGCCAGGCCCGCGCGCGGCCCGTACGGGCTGCGCCAGGCCCGCGCGCGGCTCGGGCCGCCTGCGCGCGGTTCGGGAGGCTGTGCCAGGCCCGTGGGCGGCCCTTTCCTCGCTGCCCCTGCCCTCCCCGCTGTCCCCCGTGCTTCTGCTGGCGCCCCACCCCTCCTACAGCCCGTTCTCCTGAATTAGGGTTTGGGGGTGAGGGGTATGGGGGTGAAACTACTGTGTGCCGTTCCCTGCTCCTCCTCCTCCTCCGTCTCCCTGTGCTGCAGCTGCCGCTGAGGGGGGGTGGACTTGTTGGAGCCGTTGGAGTGGTGCTAAGGGGGGGTGAAGGGGGAGTGGAGCTAGCGGTGTAGCAGCGGGTGTGTGTCAGGAGGGGTGGTACTGTTTGGGGGAGGTCGAGTGGAGGCAGCAGTCTTGTCGTCAGCAGCAGCAGCAGTCCGGAGGCTACAATCTCCGGTAGTCGCCAGTCGCCCGTGGGTCTGTTGCTCGTCTGCCGCTACTTTTAGCCGCGGGGCCAGTTACCCCAGTAGTCCGGAGCGTTGTTCCGGTAGCCACTGAGCCAGCAGCTCGTCTGTGTGTCTGCAGCGTCAGCAGTCGCCTCCCATCTTCTCTCCCCCACAGTCTCTCCTCCTCCTCACTTGCCCTCTGCGATAGCCTCTAGCTTTGCTCATAATTGTGAACTTTAAACTATTGCTTCTTGAACTTGTGCTCAGAATGTGTGGTGACATTGTGATCCACCCTGAGCTTGTACTGCTTTGCTTGCTCTGCTGATTACACCCCACTTTGGCTATGGGGGTGTGTCAGAATATTATGCTCTAGCCTGTAGTGGGGTGCTCTATAGCGAGTACAACCCTTCTAGGGTTTGCTATTTGTATCCTCATTCTTGCTAGTGCAACCCTCCTTCTTCTTAATTCCTCTTAAACTTTCACAGAATTTACTGCTGTAAAACGGCATTTACCGTTTTGTACCTGAAACGAATTAGTCCTGCTAGATGCGCGACTTTCCAGCGAATAATTTTGTTCACAACGTCAGAAAAGACGAGGCTCAAGATTCAGGTTTACAACTGAAATCTCGAGCAATCCCGAGCACCCTTCGGGATCCCTCAGTACCCCCACGAACCCACGAGCACCCCGAGAAGAGTCCCGCACGACCAGCTATTTCTAGTCATGCGTTGTCCTGCGCTGTCCTGCGCGAAAGCACATCAATAATTCGCCCTGTCCTGTTTCGACCGCGCGCACTGTGCACGGTTGCAAGAGTGTCACGCACACGCGCGAGCCT